AGTCGTCACTCGATGTTTGAGTCATCAAGCAAAGAGCATGTGTGAGCATAGCCATAGAGTCTTCTTAAAATGGAGTAGTGTGACGGAATGGTAGGCGATGTTTCTACATTCAGTAACTTCATAAGAATGAAAATATACTCTGGATAATGATTAACTGTGAAAGTACCAAATAGGTAATATTCAAAATGATATAATGATATATTTAATGCTGATGTTGTAGTTGTTGTCCAAAGTTTGGTGAATTGTGGATGTTCAGGTTACGTTATCAAATTACTATGCGGTAAGGTACATTCTTGGGACACGGGTGGTGCTGTGGGTTAAACCAAAGAGCCTAGGATTTGCCAATCAGAAGGTCGGCGGTTCGAATCCCCGCGACGGGGTGATCTCCCGTTGCTCGATCCCTGCTCCTGCCAACCTAGCAGTTCAAAAGCACGTCAAAGTGCAAGTAGATAAATAGGTACCGCTCTTGCAGGAAGGTAAATAGTGTTTCCAGGCGCTGCTCTGGTTCACCAGAAGCGGCTTAGTCATGCTGGCCACATGACCTGGAAGCTGTACGCCGACTCCCTCGGCCAATAAAGCGAGATGAGCACCGCAACCCCAGAGTCGGTCATGACTGGACCTAATGGTCAGGGGTCCCTTTACCTTTACCTTTAAGTATATTCTTACGAGCATTTTTTTATTCATTACTTTTGATTTTATCTGCTTTTCATGCTTTTGCTTATGAAATGTTTTGTTTTGCATAGCATTTTGCAATATTGTATACAAAAGTTCTATTTGAAAAATTGACATCACGCACAGATACTGTGAAGGAAACTAGACAACCCCAAGCAAACTAATAAATGTCCAAAAAACATACAGATGTGAATGCTGACAGTAACCTAAATGTGACTCTCAGTGTTCATTAGTGCATGCCCAATGAGAAGTGAGGAACAGGTATCTTTAGACAGTCACAAAATTCATCTAGGATGGTTAGCATTCACATGAGTCTCAATATTCAGCAGTTTTGGACATTCCTTGCAGTAGAAATGAAACCCACTCTATACTCTTTCTTCAAAGATCATTCGCTGTCTCATATATATATATAGGCAAATGTCCAACACATTTATCTCCATTATTAATTGCAATGCTTTTAGGAAATGGAAGCTTATCCTCCCTGTTGCCTAAGGTATTCAGGGACTGCAGCTTTTAAGAACTAGTGGTTCTGGACAATTACTGCTGCAATAATAACGTAGATGCATTTATTATACTGCAGCTACATCTGGGCCCAGAGATGAGCCTTGCATTCTCATTCAACATCAAAGCATGTTGTGTAAATTTTTGCAAAAAGTAAAGTGATCATTGCTGCCCTGGGCAACTTGGGGAGGAAGGATGGGATATAAATTCAGTCTGTCTTGGCACCAAACATGTTCTCAAACCTGGCATAGACCTTTCCAGAAGTTATAACAGCAGGTAGATAGGAAACACACCTGGTTGTAAGTAGCTCTTGCTGCCTTAAGGGCGTGGAGTGAGAATGAACTGATGTCTCTGTTGAGAGAGTTCATGTTGAAAAATGTAATATAGCAAAGCCTGTCTTGACTTACCAAGGCTGATCTAAATCAGTGTTTCCCAACCTTTTTTGGGCAAAGGCACACTTGTTTCATGAAAAAAATCTTGAGGCACACCACCATTACAGCCCCGTGACGTCAGCGCACAGCGTCACGCCGGGAGGGACGCACGAAAGTGTAAGATTCAATTTTTTCCCCTCCCCCTTGCCTTCCTTCTGTGCCAACCGCCAAAAAGCCAAGAATCGCGGGACCGCCGGCGGAGGGGGGGAGGGCGAGCGGAGGCAGCGGCGAGCCCCGTTCCTCCCCATCCGCCCCATTCCGTGCAAGGAGCGCGAACAGGTGTGAGAAGGGGGTCAAACCTGCGGGTCGGCGCCGGGGAACCTCCAAGCTTTGGGGGTGGGGGGAGGAGGCAGCAAAACTGGGAGCCGCAAAACAAGCCAAATGTAAATAACCACACATACTTCCCCTTCCCCCACTCTCTCTCTTTTCCCTGAGTCTATTTCAGATAGCAAAGAGGGGAATGGTACCTCTCATATCCATTTTTTGCAAAGCACCATGTGCATAGAGGGCATTATACAAATTAATACATAGAAAAGTGTCTGTCCCTCCCTGCAGTTCAACTCCCTCTCTTTTTACTAACAGCACATATCCATTCCTTCTGCTGGTGCAACTTTCTCACCATTTCTACATAGCAGCATTTATAAACCAGTGCCAGAGAAACTGGGTGAAAGGAAGGTGAGAGGGAAGAGATATGAATATTTATGTGTGTACGTATATGTATACATACATACACCTACACAATTACAGGTTTGAAGCCAACTTAAAATAAAAAGAGCTGGTAAGCAAAGGAATCTGTGGCGCTTTCCATGGGATCCGGGGACATGTCAGCTAATACTCTTCCCTTTCTTCTTCATTTGCTTGTCTCTGCAGCAAATCTCGAGGGGGAAGGGAGAAGGGCAGGAATTGCATAGGCACGAGAGAACGGGGGAAATCCCGCATGCAGGATTTTGGTGCCTAACAGCCCCCCTCCCTCTGCAATTGCTCTCGTGCTCCCCCGCCTCTCCTGCTGGCTACCTCTGGACCCCCTCGTAATTCACCCCTTCCTCCCTGACAGGGAGGGCGGGCCCATTTTGTGGTTCTCCTCAGGTGCTCTCCCCTCAACTGGGCGGCCACTCAGAAGCAAGGCACGGAAAAGGATCCCGAATCACCACCGCCACCCCCCCCCCACAAACACACACAAAAACCCCGCCCTGCCATTCCCCTCGAGCTCGCGTGCTCTCTCTCCCTCGCCTCAGGTGCCTCGCACGCGGAGCTGAGGAGAGCGTGGCCTGGGTGGGCGGCTCTCGAAGTCGCACGGCGCGCGGGGCCTGAGGGCGGGCGGGCTGCCGCGACGACGAGAGGGAGCGCGCCTGCGTGTGGACGCGCCTATGTGTGGCAGCCGCCAGCGGTGGGAGTGGCAGCCGCGTCCACCTGGGGGGAGAACCGTCGCTGCGCCCTAGCGCACCTTCCTGCCACCGCCCTCCTCCTCTTCCTCCTCGCTCCCTGCACCATGAGGGAAGAGGCGCCGCCGTGAGCTGCTCGGCCGCTTCCTCACTGTCCTCCAGACGAGGCACCCCCCTCGTCGCCGCCGCCGCCCATCCCACCCTGGGATGAGCCATGAAGCCGCCTGGCAGAACTTCCCTCCGGCGGCAGAAGCAGCAGCAGCAGCCCTTCTCCGGCCGCCGCTGCCTCCTCCTCCATCCCAGCAGCCGCCGCCTCTCGAGCTCCGCTGCCACCGCCGCCTTGCTTTGCCCAGCTCGGCTGCCCAGCTCCATCCCCCTCCTCTTTCTGGCGCTTCTGCTTTTCTGCTCAGGGTCCCCGAGGATCTCCGGAGCCGCGGCAAAGGTGTAAAAGAGCCGCATGCGGCTCCGGAGCCACGGGTTGCCGACCCCTGGATTAGGACCTAATTTGACTTTTACAAAAAAAAAATAATCTTTTGAATTTTCCCCGCGGCACACCAGGCAACGTATCGCGGCACACTAGTGTGCCGCGGAACACCGGTTGGGAAACACTGATCTAAATAATAAACACCAGGTTTTGTGGTCCTGGGGCCCTGTTAGCGCAGAGACATACTTTGAGTGTGTACAGGAGCAGAGACTAGTATTACCAAGGAGTTCCAGGAGCCAGACGTTCAGAGCATCATGTGGAATGGGAAGTCCAAAACTCAAGTTGGCTGGCCAAGCTCAAAAGGAAAGCATCTGTCTAAATGGAGTGGGAGATAGGAAGGTTGTGAGTTAGATAGGTATCACTAACACTTACCTGGAAATATTTAAAGGCACATCAGTACATAGAGACTCAATCTGTTCTCTGACGAATGGCGCCACTTTGTAGCCTAAAGACAAACAATGTTGATCTTTCCTCCATTCATTCTATAGCCTCCAATGGCCGACAAAGGCATTAGTATGCAAACCCAAAAAACACCCAGTTCGAGTCTTGGTTCATCTTGATAGACCCATAATGCCAAACATAACAGGTTTTTTTTTTAAAGTTTCCCCACTCCAAATGGGTAAGTTCTAATATACGGCTTGGAAGACTCTACAGAGAACAATGAAATCTGAGTCTGTGGCCTCTCCAGATGACCTGTTTATTGAGCATTCATCCTTTTCTTGCACAAAGCTTACATGGAGGTTATATTATATCTTGTCTTCACTGATCATCCATTCTGATTTGTTTGTGGGGCACCTGTACACCAAAGCGTGTTCTCCATAATAGAGAGCACGTGTTGCGGTGGGGGCCAAAAAGGCCACCCCACTGTTGTTGGGCAAATTGGCCTCATGCTGTGATTGGGCAAGGAGTGTTGCTGGGGAGAATACAGGAATCCAGGGGCTTGCCATCCCTTTCATCCTAGTCCCTGTCATCGGACTTGGGCCGTGCAAGCCCCAGGGGGCATGAGGGTGAGAGATGGGGGACTGATGTCCAGCTTCATTTCTCCCCAATATGGTTCTCCCTGACTAGCTTCCGCTGGAATCTGGAGGTCAGTCCTGTCCCCCTGCCTGGCTTCTGCTGGAATCCGGAAGTCAGTTCTGTCTCTGGGACAAGGGCTTCCGCTGGAATCCGGAGGTCAGTTCTGTCCCCTGGGCAAGGACAGATAGTCGTAACCAATGCCTAAGCAACCACTCACGTGTGTGTATTTAAATAAAGTTGTGGCCAAATTCATGCCAAAAACCTTAAACAAAAATTGATCTGTGAAGTGTGAGTTATTGGGGTGGCTTGGGGGACCTCGACGCGCAATAAGCGTTTCTCTTGCGTTCATCCCAATCTGCTTGCGTCTTCCCATTTTTGCCGATGACCTCTCCACCCCAGTTCAAGTAGCTTACTGCAAGCATTGTCCCCTTATTCCTAACACATTCTGTGTTCTCTATCCCACTAAAAAGGCCTTTCCACTTCTCTCTCCCTCTCACCTATCTTCCTTCCCAGTGTGCAACAAACACCATTTTATAGACAGCAATCTGCTGTTCCAGTTCCGAATGAATTTCCGCCGGAGGAGGAGATTGATGGAGCTGCTCGCTGAGAAGTCCCGCTTGATGCCAGAGAGTCACGACAGTCCCTTTTGTCTACGAAAGCAGAACCATGACAATAAAAAGCACACCAGTTTCCTCTCAGGTATTTGAGTACCAAAGCAGAAGGAAGTCTTCATGATATTAGTAGGAAAAAATAGTAGTTTATCCATTTCTGTAGTACTTTCAACCAAGATTCAACAAGATTCACTGCGGCTCGCTCACAGAACCTGGAATATGTGCCTCTGAGCACTTGCAGACTGCCTTGAGGGGAGGGAAGTGTATGCATTAAATGCTGTTTGAAAAGGAGGGGTTAAAGTGATAGAGTTCTTGAGAGGAGAAGAATAAATGGTTAGAGCACAATCTATGCAAGTCATTGCCACCTTGGATTAGCTGTGTGCCAGGTCATCTGTCCCTGAGGAAATTGTTCAGCTGTTCCATTTTTTTCCAGAAGTTGGGTTTTCTGTGCCCTGGAAAAAATCCTGAAGCTGAAAAGGGGAAGTATGGGAGGAGAATGTTTCAATCATTACATTATGCAGGTGCCCAGTAAACAATCTAGTGCAAGATGGCAGCTTCCCATATTGAAGTTGATCCTCTTTTGTGCTATTTATGAAAGCATAAATCTTTTCTTAATTTAGAAGAGAAAGCAGAAGAAAAACGTTAGTAATGTGAGTGAGCATTCTAGCCAGTTTAGGTTTTGTATTGTGCAACTGACTTATAGCACAATCCTATACAGTGGTACCTCGGGTTAAGTACTTAATTCGTTCCGGAGGTCCGTACTTAACCTGAAACTGTTCTTAACCTGACGCACCACTTTAGCTAATGGGGCCTCCCGCTACTGCCGCACCGCTGGAGCACGATTTCTCTTCTCATCCTGAAGCAAAGTTCTTAACCCGAGGTAATATTTCTGGGTTAGTGGAGTCTGTAACCTGAAGCGTATGTAACCCGAGGTACCACTGTACATACCTAGCCAAAAGTTAGTCCCATTGGGTTCACACGGCATTGCAGCCTGAAGCAAAAAACAAACAAATAAGAAAAGAAGAAGAAGAAGAAGAGTTTGGATTTGATATCCCGCCTTTCACTCCCTTTAAGGAGTCTCAAAGCGGCTAACATTCTCCTTTCCCTTCCTCCCCCACAACAAACACTCTGTGAGGTGAATGGGGCTGAGAGACTTCAAAGAAGTGTGACTGGCCCAAGGTCACCCAGCAGCTGCAAGTGGAGGAGCGGAGACGCGAACCCGGTTCCCCAGATTAGCAGACTACCGCTCTTAACCACTACACCACACTGGCTCTCGTTTGTGTATGGAAGTACCCTAAAGATGTAGCTGTTCATGAATGGGCAACACAAGTTTTAGAAATTTAGGTGACCGCTGGATATAAAATCAGAGCAGTTGCATTTCTAATATAACAATATACAGGTGAAATGGACTTAGAAGGCCATCCAAAAAAATAAGAATGCCTTGCTTAATTGTTTTGAAAAGCACCATTGTACTAAATGAGCAGTTCGTCATCAAAGTGATGGGACTATTGAAGGTGACAAGATGCACTAGAACAGGCATCCCCAAACTCGGCCCTCCAGATGTTTTGGGACTACAACTCCCATCTTCCCTAGCGAACAGGACCAGTGGTCAGGGATGATGGGAATTGTAGTCGCAAAACATCTGGAGGGCCGAGTTTAGGGATGCCTGCACTAGAAACTTCTGAAGTTATGAATCATGGGTAGGCAAACTAAGACCCGGGGGCCAGATCTGGCTCAATTGCCTTCTAAATCCTGCCTGTGGACAGTCCAGGAATCAGCGTATTTTTATATGAGTAGAATGTATCCTTTTATTTAAAATGCATCTCTGGGTTATTTGTGGGGCATAGGAATTCGTTCATTCCCCCCCCCCAATATAGTCCGGCCCCCCACAAGGTGTGAGGGACAGTTTACCGGCCCCCTGCTGAAAAGGTTTGCTGACCCCTGTTATGAATGACAGTAAAGAGAATTGTAAGAGAGAGAGAAATTAATTCATGTCCTCCTGCCTATTTCCCTTCTTCTTCTGCTTGGGAAAGTGAGCCCCACCAAGGAGATAAAGATTGTCTCAGCAGTGAGACGGAGCAGTATGAGTAGCTGTAGCAGCAGTGGGTACTTCAGCAGCAGCCCAACGATCAGCGGCAGTCCTCCAGTTCTGTGCAACCCCAAATCTGGTAAGGATCGCTAAGACTTGTTTGCAATGTTGAATGTTGGAGCCAAGTTAGACACCATGCACTTTTTTAGATGCACCTTCGCATTACACATGCATGCTTTAAAAACAAAACAAACCAGAAATAGCAACTGCTGATATGATAATTGGAATGACTGTAAAGGGACGGGGCTGCAGTCTGGATGCTCCTCCAAAGCTGCTATAAGCTTTCCTACCAATTCAAATAGCAGCTTTCGAGGAATGATTTCCCTACCAATGCAAATAGCAGCTTTCGAGGGGGAAGAAATGATTAAACACACACACCCGTCAGCCTTCTGTAATTCCCTACCCTCAGCACCCACTGTTAGTATTTTTGTAAACTGCATTATAAATGCAAATATGCATTTAAATCCACATGTACTTTACCCCTTAGAAGACATCCAGGCAATTTAGCTTTGAGATAGCAGGAGTGTATTTGTTTTTAATGAAGGGTCATGCCTTTGCAAAAACCTTTCAAAGCCCATTATTTCCCTCAAAGAATTCTGGGCACCGTTGTTTCTTATGGGTTGCCAGAAACTGTAACTCTCCAAGGGGTTAAACTACAGTGCCCAGAATTCTTTGAGGGAAATAATGTGCTTTGAATGTGCTTTAAATGTACAATGTGTATATGGCCTAAACTAATTAAGGAGAAGGGGACGACAGACTGGGACGAGATGGTTGGACAGTGTTCTCGAAGATACCAACATGAGTCTGACCAAACTGCGGGAGGCAGTGGAAGACAGGAGTGCCTGGCGTGCTCTGGTCCATGGGGTCACGAAGAGTCGGACACAACTAAATGACTAAACAACAACAAAATTTACATTTAAGGAGGGGAGGACCAAGTGTTTGCATGTTCCCTCATCATAAAAAATAAATATATATTTTTTGTACATTGAAAACTAAGGAAAGGCTAGACCAGAGTTCTAATAGGCTATGTTTGAATATACAGGAGTTTAACACGTGAAAGCGTTCGTCTTCAAAGCTTAATTGGTCTAGCCCAGCCACAGACCTCTCAAAAGCTGTCCAAGTTTTCCTGGACTCTGATTTCTAATTCTTAAGCTTTTCTGTGCATGACTCAGGTTTTAATCAATGGTGTATAGTTTTATTCCATTTTTATTCCAAGTTTTGAAAGCTTTGGTTTGATTGTTGTTGTGCTTTGTGAATTTCCTCCGCTTTCCTCCAGATTACCTCTTACGTAAACTGCTCAGAGATTTCTTTTTATATTAAGCAGTTTCTAAATTATATACATGAATAAATCAGGCCAGTTTCCCTTTAAAAAAAAATGGATGGAATATTTGCGTATTCCTTAGACCTAATATAGCCAGAATTCAGCAGCCAGCTAAAAGTAAACATGGAAGGGAATTATGTACCTTGTCAGCTTAGGCATATGACACCAGCTGCTCAACGGAGCGCTTTCACACCCCCACTGGTTGTGGCAACCAGCCCTAAATCGGCTGACAGTCCAAGTTTTCTGACCCGCTTAGCAACAGTTTATAGATCAATCTGTCATTCTTCTCCATTACGCAGAGAGAACAGTGACAGCAGTGGCCGGCATGTGAAGACATTTACTTTATTCGAGCCATTAATGAATGAGCTCAGCACAAGAAAGGGGATAGCAACGATGCGATCATGCTGTTTGCTAAGAGGAATTAGGAATACTTCAGCAATCGGTTCATTTTCAACAAGCCCCTCTATGATAAGATGAAAACTGTCAGCTTCCGAGCTTGTTTTCTTTCTAAGCTATTTCCTGTGCCTCTAGAAAGACGAAACATCCCCCCTTTGTGCTCTTCCGGCTGATATTAAAAGGCGGAGGAGGGCAGTAAAGAAATATGCATTTTCCCATCCACACTGTTATCTGCTTCGAAGGGAGAACGGAATGTCGAAGGGAATTCTCACACTCTCCTTTCTCACTTCAGTCTTCCTTCAGTTACGTATAAATATACTTGGCGTGTTCTGAAGATGATTTCAGTAGCTCTGCAAAGGCATTAACCTGTGAATATGAGGGCTCCAACTCAAGTGAGCAGGGATAGGATTGAAGCCTTGCCCTGTGTACAACACGGTGGAGGCGTGTCTCCGGCAACTATAGGACAGCGCTTGTGACGTCACTCATGATTAATGGTTCCCTCTCCTTTCCCCCTCGTCGTGGTTTTATTTAAAATTTATTTATCTGCGTTCTTTAGAATCCGGGCACCTCCTGGCTGCACAGTTAAGTGTGGGAGTGAACACGCTGGCCTCTGAAAAGTGAGCAAAAATCAGAAACTGTACCTGTCAGCGATGCTCTGCTGTTTTATAGCTTGTGGCGGGGAAGTGCACCTAAAAGGAACACAAAAGCACAAATTATTTATTTAGCAGTAAGCAATCATTCCTTTATTGCCCACTACAATCCACCCTTGTGCCAAGAAACAAGGGTATAGCATTCATTTTAGATCCAAAGATTAGATTGCAAGTATTTAATTGAGGGAAAATATCTTTGCGCAGATAGATAGATAGATAGATAGATAGATAGATAGATAGATAGGTAAGAGAGCTGAAAATAACGCCAATGTATTCCACACCTGGCAACCCATGTGCCCCTTTGGTTCCATATAGTACATGGGTAAAAGGTAAAGGTAAAGGGACCAGTTCTCCACCCCTGGGCTAGGACCTGGGAGGCCAGGGTTCAGATCCTGCCGTAGCCGTGAAGCTCAGTGGCAAACCTGAGCTGATGTTGCCACAACATAAGATGACAGGAGCCAAACCTAGGATCCCATCCCATAAAGGTAAAGGGACCCCTGACCATTAGGTCCAGTTGTGGCCGGCTCTGGGGTTGCGGCGCTCATCTCGCTTTATTGGCCAAGGGAGCCGGTGTACAGCTTCCGGGTCATGTGGCCAGCATGACTAAGCCGCTTCTGGTGAACCAGAGCATCGCACGGAAACGCCGTTTACCTTCCTGCTGGAGCGGTACCTATTTATCTACTTGCACTTCATACTTTCGAACTGCTAGGTTGGCAGTAGCAGGGACCGAGCAACAGGCGCTCACCCCGTTGCGGGGATTCGAACTGCCGACCTTCTGATTGGCAAGCCCTAGGCTCTGTGGTTTAACCTACAGCGCCGCTCACATAGGCGAGTCTAAAAAGCCTGGGACACAAATTGCCACAGCCCTCTAGCAGCTGGGGAGGCTCATTTACCAGAAATAATGTATTTAGCATTAACTCTGGAAGTGTATACTTGATTCTGACCGTACTAAGCCTCCCTGATGTATATTGTATTCTAGGAGGCTGAAACCCAAAGCGAGCATTGGTTGCCAGGTGTGTTGGTGTGCTTTTCCAGCTCTCCTACCCCACCAATATTGCAGCAATAGTTTTTCATTTCAGCAATATTTTGCTAATATTTTAATGTTCCAGTGCTAATTAGAAGATTGGTTTTTGTTTTTTAATGTGGAAGCAACATAGGAGAATCACAACTGGATGACAAGGCCGTTGACAATGTGAGTAAAGGAGACATGGCGATTCCAGACTAAGCAATCCCAGCCCTTGTGAAAGTTTTTACTTAACATCCTCCTTGTGTATTTGCAGTATTGAAGAGACCAGTGACTCCTGATGAACTTCTGATGCCTGGGGCACCATATGCCAGAAGAACCTTCACAGTATGTCTCCAATTGTCTCAATTATCTTCTGTTGTGTAGTGCACTTTATGACATTTTGATCCATTATTCAGACATAATAACGGATGCAAAAATAGATAAAGGAATATTTTCATTCGCATTTTGGTACAATTTTGAGCCCAGGGTTTTTAATCACAAAATCTGAAGGACTGTGAAAACAGTGTTACTATTAGTCCAGGAAGTGTGTGAATCAGGCCAGCTTCCTTAAAATTGTGGCTTGGTTTGCCTAAAATCCCTGAGCGACCCTAGAATCCGGTGAATCACGGTGGATTCACAAGAATGTGCTTGTGTTGTTTTGGCTTGCTATCAAAACAGCAACAAAGAGAATTGCTAAAGCATTCGTTGTCGCACCTTCTTGTTCCCTCTCAAGATTGTAGGCGATGCCGTCGGGTGGGGATTTGTGGTGCGTGGGAACAAGCCTTGCCACGTCCAAGCTGTGGATCCCAGCGGCCCAGCAGCTGCAGCAGGAATGAAGGTAATTTTAACGAATGCAGATTTAAGCACTTTAAAAGGGGGGAGGGGATGTGTTGATATGAAGTCAGAACTACTTCAGTTGTGACACCGCGCAACACAGCTCTATACACCTGGTGTGGGGACATACCCTCCAGCGTTCCTCTGATGAGAATCAGAACGCATGTCTTTTGCTGACATGCTCTTGTGGGAGCCAGCTGACTCGCGTGAAAGCGCAGCATCACAGCAAGCACCAGCTCGCCCTCTTCCCTGAGCTTGGCAGCCACACTGGAGGGGGAAACAGGCGGAGGAAGGAGGGGGCAGTGGGGGCTGACTGTGCCCCCCGGGTGTCTTTACTGAGGGGGGTGACATTTGGCGTGCTGCCCACCTGTGACTCCCAAGCCTGCCCCAAGCCGTGGGGGAAAGGGGAGAGCTGCGCCGCTTTGCCGGCAGCATTCCCCCCTTCCCCCTTCGTTTTGACAGCTGGGGGAGGCTTGGGAGTTGCGGGTGGGCGGTGTGCCGAATGTCCGCCATTGGCGGCTCGCTCCACCCCTGGCTGCAGGGCGCATACACCGCTCTGTGGACCCGAGTGGCTATCCTGCGCCTGGGAGGTCACCCTCCACGTCCCGCCCCCCTCGGGAGCACACCCGTCCTGGGCAGTGTGGACATATGTTCCGCCACTGGTGGGGAACAGTACATTCTGGGATCAAATCAGGAACTGGGATGGTTTCTGTAATTCCAGGACTGTCCCGGGGAAATCGGCACACTTGAAGCGTATATAAGGATTTCCATGAGTAATTAGGTAAAGGTAAAGGGACCATTAGGTCCAGTAGTGGCCAACTCTGGGGTTGCGGCGCTCATCTCGCTTTATTGGCCGAGGGAGCCGGCATACAGCTTCCGGGTCATGTGGCCAGCATGACTAAGCCGCTTCTGGCGAACCAGAGCAGCGCACAGGAAATGCCGTTTACCTTCCGCCGGAGTGAACCTATTTATCTATTTGCACTTTGATGTGCTTTTGAACTGCTAGGTTGGCAGGAGCAGGGACCGAGCAACGGGAGCTCACCCCGACGTGGGGGTTCGAACCGCCGACCTTCTGATCGGCAAGTCCTAGGCTCTGTGGTTTAACCCACAGCGCCACCCGTGTCCCCCACAGTGCCACCCGAGTAATTACATATGGACTATATACAGTGGTACCTCTGGTTGCGAACAGGATCCGTTCCGGCGCCCCGTTTGCAACCTGAAAGGAACGCAACCCTGCGTCTGCGCAGACGCGAGTTGCGATTCACCGCTTCTGTGCATGCGTGTGATGTCATTTTGTGCATGCGCGAGTGGTGAAACCCTGAAAAAACACAACCTGAAAAAACGTATCATGAAGCAAGCGTAACAAGAGGTATGACTGTAATTACAGTGGTACCTCGGGTTACAGGCGCTTCAGGTTACAGACTCCGCTAACCCAGAAATAGTACCTTGGGTTAAGAACTTTGCTTCAGGATATGAACAGAAATCGTGTTCCGGCGGCGTGGCGGCAGCAGCAGGAAGGTCCATTAGCTAAAGTGGTGCTTCAGGTTAAGAACAGTTTCAGGTTAAGAACAGACCTCCAGAACGAATTAAGTACTTAACCCGAGGTACCACTGTACATATTGCCACACAGGACGTTGTTTTATGCTGACTCAGACCATTGCACTATCTCGCCCAGTGCTGACTGCACTGCCTGATAGCAGTTCACCAGGGTCTTTTCTCAGCCTGCCTTAAAGGTGTTGGGGACTCAACCTTCTGCATGCAATGCAGATATTTTCCCACTGAGTTACAGCCCTTCCCCATCATTGCGTGTCACTATCTATGTGGGATCTTCACACTCCTTCCTGGCAGAAATGTATTCCTGTAGGAGTTTTAAGCTGGCCTAGGACATTGCCAGGTTTGCGTCTTCCTTTCCTGACGCGAGTCTCCTTTAGGCTTCTTTATGCTCAGCGCAACAGTAATAAGAGCTGGCAGCGAAGAAGAATCCGTCCTGCTCTAAGAAGCTTTGTCTGCCAGAATTGCTTGGAGCAACCAACCAAAAGAGACCAGACCAGGAAAACTTGGCGAAGAGGGAAAGGGCAAGAATTTGAAGAGCAGCCAAAGCTCAGCGTTTTGCTTTCTAGAAGTGTCCTTGGCACCGAGGCAACACCCTCTTCCCTGCCTTGTTGAGATGCACCCAGAAGTCTACACATTTCTGGACGTTGGCTGCATGCTGCGGTTGTTTAGAAAACTTGCAGTCTTCGTTCCCTCCACGCTCCGCATGTTACGCTTCTCTCCTTTGCACTGCGTGGAGCAAGCTCCTGGGGCAGGACTTTTGGCCCGCCGCTCCGCATGTGCACTCGAAGGCCTTTTGTTCCAGAAAGCTGTAAGGAAGATATACTTACAAAGCCAGCGCTGTGTGTCTTGCATTCCATAAGACAACTTATTCAAAAGCCATCAATCTCAGTGGATTCCAAAGAGAGAGGCCTGAACAAAGCCTTTGTGACGGCGAGGAAAATTGCCAGGATTTTAATTTCTAGAAAAATGAGTCTTCGGTCTGTTTGGAAGGCCTTCATTTATGGTGTGTGCACGACTCTGTAGTAGCCTAGTGGTGATAGAAATGTGCTCTGTACTTTCTCAGTGGGGTGGCTTTTCATAAGGATGAGAGCGAGTCTTTGGCATTGAAAGCAGATTCTGGATCCTTAGCAATCACTGGCATTGCTCCTGCATAGGCCCCTCCTCTTCCCTTTCTGCTCATGGGCTGTGTGGCCAGAGGAGTGAAAAAACCATGGCATAAAGACAGCATTTGCCTTCTGCTGTTGGCAATGGAGTGGATCTACTGCTTCTTGCAGAAAGAAGTTCAGAGGAGGTTGGGAAGGTCTGGAAAGGCTCTTTGGCTGTCTTCCCGCCAGGCCCTTGCAAGCTCTTTGAAAATAAGTCTGGTGAGAAGTGGAAAACTCTCTTTGTTTTCCTCCTTCACTTTACAGGGTTGGGCGTTATATCACAAGACTGAAACTGAAGTGGGGTAAATATTGACACAGCGATAACATTGTGATTGCAGCAAACACCAGCAACTCACTCCCTATGTTAAAGACACACCATGTAAAGATTGCACAGAAATAGACACAATAAGGCTTGCCGTCTGTTTCCAGCATGAAAACTGTGAAGCCACCTGCTCAGGGTTTACTTTTGGGCTATTTTAATCTCATTGTGTTGCTAAATATGGCGAATATGCTAGCTGTACGATGAAAAACAGCGTTGGTTCTTACTTTGGAGACAGAGCAGATAGTGTAAGCTGAGTGACACATCTCTCCTACTTTTTTGTTGTTGTCTGGGAGTTTGAACAAACATCAGCTGTTTTCTGATATGGTTTTACTCGATGGCTTTTCTTTAAATAATACGACAGGTGAAACAGAACTGGCATTGGTCTAGTATATAGCTGTCAACTTACAGTTTTGAAAATAAGGGACCAGCAGCCTTGAAAATAAGGGCCAGCAGCCTTGAAAATAAGGGACCACCAGCCAAAATAAGGGACCTGCAGCCTCACCTGTTCCAGGCACTCCAGTCTTCCTGTCCTCCTGCAGTCTGGTCAAACTCATGCTGGTAGCTTCGAGAACATTGTCCAACCAACTTTGTAACCAGAGGTTCAACTGAATAGAATCTGAATCACATGCACCACAAGGCCTATGCAGCCTCAACTTAAGATGGCTCCCCTGGCCTGGCTTTGCACTGCAAAGTTTGCAGCAGCACGTGCAACAAAATGGCGTCCAGCATTCAAAAAACCCCTCAGCTTGCATTAACTAGCCACACACAAGGCATGCAAGCTCCACCCCCAGTCGTTCTTGGACTTCTTATTTGGTGAGCAACACAGCCAAACAACACAGTTGGAGCCTCCCTCCTCCCTGGCCGGCAGGGAGGGAGGGAGAGGAGCTGCTTCCTTTGAAATTTAAGGGACATCATTTAAGGGACATTTAAGGGACATCCATCAATAAGGGACAGCAGCGGGACCTGGCGCTAGAATAAGGGACTGTCCCTTCAAATAAGGGACACTTGACAGCTATGGTCTAGTAGCACTTTTGCAGCTGGTCTAAGGACCAAAGTGGAGCTTTGGCAGAAGTTCTGAGTCTGCGAATCGTATACACACCCCAAACATTTAAGAAGCTTCAGAGAATCCTGCATCAGAGACAGAAACATCTGCTGAAGGGAGATGCAGGTGGACTGTGGAAGAAGGATTGCTCACTTCTTTTCTCCACTGCTGCTTCTCCTTTCTAAATGGCACCTTCCCTCCATCACTTTTTTGATAATTAATGTCTCCAGATTTCTGCTGACTGTGCAGTTTGGCTCTGAATTTCTTTTATCGGTTGTATTCTCTGCCAAGAGTATAACAGATTTCACCTGCTGTTACACTAGAGCATGAGCATAGCCGAAGAATCTTTATAAGTGTTCGTTGATATTAAGCTATTAATCAGCAAAGTGCTACTGAATCATGTCCTTCCTCTGGTGACATCATACTTACTTACACTTACATCATATTCTTGCAAAGAAACTGGCAAAAGGTGGGCTGGACGAGGTAACTGTTAGGTGGATTTGCAGCTGGTTAATGGACCGAGTTACAAGTGGAGTGTTGCAGGGTTCTGTCCTAGGCCGTTGTTGTTTGTCTTTATAAACAACTTGGATGAAGGAATTGAGGGGATGCTCATCAAATTTGCAAACTGGGAGGGTAGCTAATGCCACCTCGTATTTACGGGACCGCCTCTCCTGGTATGCCCCGCAGAGACCTTAAGGTCCATGAATAATCACAGTTTAGAGGTCCCGGGCCCTAAGGATTATCCTCCACCAGGGCCAGGGCCTTCTCAGTGATGGCTCCGACCTGGTGGAATGCTCTGTCCCATGAGACCAGGGCCCTGCAGGATTTAACTTCCTTCCGCAGGGCTTGTAAGACAGAGCTATTCCGCCTGGTTTTCAATTTGAACCTAGCCTGATCTTTTATTCCCCTTCCTTCCCTCCCCCTCCCCTTTTTATGAAGAT